TGCTTATTCCACTGAGCCATCTCCCCGGCCTCTTGTGGTGCATTATTGACTGAAATGTGGCACAGAATGCATGCATACCGTTGAGTAACAAACATTCTATTTTCCTAAATACCTTCAATATTTTAACATATACCTTTTTTTCTTATCATTTAATGTCATTTTAAAGTGCAAAACCAAAGTGAAGTAGGTGGGGGTTGGGACTTACATTCTCTTAGTTCAATGAGAAGAAAGGTTTGTATTAATATTGTTTAGACAAGATATCATGTCTGCATCTTGTCCTCTGAATAACCAGTATGAAGACAACAATATGCAATGTATTAATTATTGTGACTGTCCTACTAACGTGTTTTGAAACTGTTTCATTGCTATTTTATTTACTCACTACAATGAATAAAAAATTACTAAAAGGAAAAAAACAAAACCAAAGCGAAAAGTAAAAACAAATAGCAGTAGCAAGACAGAACCAGAGTAACAAACAACAATACATATTTCAAGACAAGAATAAACAGAATTTCAAGACAAGAATAAAAACCTAACAGTGGTTGTTGTTTTACATATTTTCATCATCAAATCTGTTGCTCAGATGAATAGACATACAATTCTAAAGTGGTCTTTATTTCCAAGACTTCTATGAGAAGAGAAATTGAAGAAAATCATTGTGAGAATTTTTGTTTCAAAACCAAATAAATTATTGGTCAAATAATTAAAGAGTAACACTTTCAATCAGCCTTAATTTTTCTCTTTTTTTACTTTATTTTCTAATTTATTTTAAAGAAATATACTGGCTGATAAGTCATTAGAAACTTATCAATTTAGAAGAACAAAAGAAGAGGTATTCAATTGTGTTTTTTGTATTACACTTTGCTATCTTCAATGTAGCTGCTCAGATTACAGAAATTAGTATATAACATTAGTCAAAGTGAGAATTTCAAATATTAACTGCTGCTTCCAAAAAGCTGATGGAAATTAGTACTACAATCATCTCTATCCTGAATATATATTTGCATGATTTAGATACAGTGGAACGGAAAGAAACTGAACATAAAGGAGTAAATGATGAAGATGAGGGAAAGGTAAAAATTAGGGAAAAAAGCAAGGGGGAAATGCATACCTTCTTAATCACAAAGTTCAGTATGCTCCTTGCATGGGTCTGCTCCTCATCATGGACCAACTACCCAGCATGCAAATTAAAGAAGAAAAATTTTCTGACTTTTAGCTCATGGGTGACAGTCTCCAAGAGAGACATCACGGCTGCAGGTCATGACAGGCAGAAGCTCCCCACCCTTGGCAGAGAGGATGAGGGGACGGCACAGAAGAAGTGGCCAGGGCCTGCAGTCCCCAGGGACAGGCCCCCATGACCCACCCAGGGCACCCCAAGTGTGCATTACTAATTTCCTGAGCATCTCTCGAGACACTCAAGGCAACAGTTGAGATTAACACTGTCATTGTTGAATGTTCCCAAACAATGAAAATGTAGGAAGTAGAAAGTGAGCTGCCACCTGACCTCAACCAACAGACGTGACTGACCTATTTTCACACTTACTCCCGTCTTTCCATATTTCCCAGTGTGCGTGCATCTGATTGTGCTCACACACAGCACATGTGTCAGTGTTAATGGTTGAACTCTTACTGTTCACCACTCTTAATAATCCTGCACTGGGCAAGCCAGATAGCTCGGCGGACTAAAGCGCCTACTTGGGCAAGCTCAGGGACCACAGTATGAGGCCTGCTCCCCAGCACCACATGCTGTGCTGGCCCTGCCCCCGGGGCAAGCAGGTGGCAACTGAGACTGGGCGTGTGCCTATAATCCCAGTGCTTGGGTGGCTGAAAACAAGAGGATCACTAGGAGTCTGATCTGTGTAGTAAGACCCTGTGGATCCTGTACTAAATACATTAAACAAACAAACAAAAACAGTCCTACACTGCGGGATTTCACCTTGTATGCAGTATGCATTGTCACAAACAACTTAGGGAACATTAAGGTATAAAGTAAAGAATTGTTTTAATTTTTATTTTCATAATTGATGAGTTTCAGTATTATTATATTAACATTTTGTTCTTTATCTAAGCTGTCTGTGGTTACCTACTGTTAACCTAACTTTTGTTGATTAGTATTTTCGTCTTTATTATAAAACCTGTGTTTACTATGTATAACAAATTGTTGCTTATTTTTCAAATGTTGTTTCAATTTTATATAAATCATTGACCAGCATAATGAATGCATACATGGATGATAAGAAATCTAAGCACTGATAAAGTGCAATGTGCTCAGGTTATAGTAAGGATGTGTACTCAGGCCATGGTGGGGCCCTAGAGGGTGGTACTTGGCACAGGCCACCTGTACCAGAGAAGACTTGAGCTGTGCTTTGAACTATGATAAAGAATCATGAAGTCACAGGAGATGAGGAAGACACTCCAGGAAGAAGGTGCAGCAACCTACAGAGTAAAGAGCAAGGTCTATTCTGGGAATCAAAAATAGTTTACTTGCCCCACAGGGAAAGGTTCAATATAGAAAGTCATCGTAACACAGGTCTGGGAGCTGGACAAGGCCAGTTTATGAGCAATCACTTGCTATTGTACTTTAAGGCAAATAAGCTTTTAAATTTAAGGAGGTTATTGTTATGTTTAGGATTTGAATTGCAGGAAGGCGCTCCTAATGCATGAAAGATAGTCCAGGTGAGGTCGGTCTAGAGACAAGAAAACCAGGTCATGTCTACTTGAGACAAACATTCATGTTTTTCACTGCCATCATCTTCAAAAGGGCAAAATGAAATCTTTTAAAAATTACTCTAACATTGGAGCTGAGCTAACTCTGGAAGAATATACACCTGCAGGGTGCTTATATTTGAGGGCAAAAGGGCTTTTTGTCTTTTGTTTTCTTCTGTAGACATTTGCAATTTTATTTTAATCTAATACAGACGTTAATAATTAAGCAATTCACTTTTTTTTCAACTTCACATCAAAACCATGAGGGAAGTATCTGCCTTGGAAATCTATGTGCTAATGCTTGAGGGACTTGGTGGGCTATGGCCTCAGTACTAACCCGAATTCTAATAGAGCTGCTAAAAGCTCGTGCAGCATCAGTTGGTATTTTTAATAATACTTTACAGTACTGTAATTGAGAATGCTTACAGTCTGCTTTGTAAAGGTCAGGCTGACCCAGAAATGGTGTCAGGAGTAGGATGATCAGTTCGGTGGAGCATGCTCAGGACAAAGGAACCAAGGGGGAAGGGGCTTAAAGTCATGCTAGGTAAGGAGACACTAAGGAAAAATGACAGCTCACCTGTATCTGTGACTGTCACACTGTGCACCTTGGACAGATACAGTTTTATGTAGCAACTGTGTCATAATAAGCTGGGGTAAAGGAAAATGGGGATGTTGCATTAGAGGAGGTCTAGCGAAATATTTGAGTTAGGATAATGACAGTGTCACATGCTAAAGAGAAGACATACTTCATTAAACTTCTGATAGAAATGGGAATGAGGAATTAAAGTCATTAATATACAAGGTTTTGACTTAAGAAATAAATTGAATGGGTGTCATATTTTTATGCCTAAAAGACTAATACTTGTAATATTTTGTGCCAGCTTTTTATACACTGATGAAACTGTAAAATGCTTTCTTTGAGCCAGTGCTTGGCTAGTTGGACCAGGAAAGATTTCATAAAGTTCAGCCATACCTATTTGTACTTAAATTTATTAAATAAGTTAAGTTTGGATATGTTTTCTCGTTACATAAAACCAAAAAAATTGATCTACTGGTTGAGCTGCATCATACAGATTTCCATGTTCTCAAATAGTACACCAATGGTAGAATTAACCATATGAAATAGTTTTCTTGGCATTAATGAATGTCATCCTCACTTGCCCCTAAATGCCACCTTCTCCCACAGGCTGCACTCATGAGCTCAGCCTGCTGCCGTGCTGCCATGGTTTTACCAGTCTCTGCAGCTTTCCTGATGTGCAGCTACTGTATTGTACCTTCTCACCACAAATGCAGAACGTGTTGCAAAAGAGAGCTGTCCCACATGGCATCTGGTCCAGGATACATGTCCCACACCTCAGGAGATGCAGCTTCATTTTCATCCTTGGACTTTGGGCACCTAGGCGGGCTACACCCACATGAGCCCACAGGAGGCCACTTCTGAGTTGTATGCCATTTCGTCCTCCCAAGCTGGTGAGACAGTAGTAAGAACTGAAAAGGGCAGAAGCCCAAAGAACATTCTTCTAGAAAACTGACACACTTCCAAGACGTGTGAGGTTTCAGCGCTAGGAAATATTGCTGACTTGACAGGATTTGGGCCATCATTTTGCAGGGATGCTGCAGGTAGTTCCTTGGTTGTAAAATTAGGGTGTCAGCTGGAGCTCTCAAGAGAAACAGAAACACTAGGACGAGTGTATGTGCATAAAAAGATATATCTATATGCATACTGTAAATATACACACATAAGGAGCAAGAGATAGAAAGAGAGGGAGAGAAAGAGGAAGCGAGGGGGGAGGGAAGGAAAAACAGGGAGAGAGTGAGCATATGAACAGTGAGTCAGCTCGCGCCATTACAGAGGCGGACGGGTCCCAAGCTCTGCGCCCAGGACAGCCAGTGGCACATTCCAGGCAGATGATAAGTGGGCCTGAGAGCCTGGGAGAGCTGGGAGAGCTTATGTTCCATTCAGAGTGAGAAGGCAGGAAAAAGAGCCACGTCCAGGTTTGAAGACAAGCCGCAGGGAGAATGCTCTCTGTTCACAAGTGTCAGTGCTGCCCTCGGGTGACTAGACGAAGCTCTTTCTCCACGTTAAGGAGAGGGGCTCTGCGTTCAGTCTGCAGATTTACCTGCAAGCAGTCTAGAAGCACCATCAGAGGCACACAGGGGAATGTCTGATCACACGCCGGGGTACTCACAGCCCAGTTAAATTGACTCATAAAATTAACCATCAACTGGATTTAACAATCAGGTGTTACTTAAGCGTGTATTGCATATATTAATTAATTCTTTCTCCTGCCCAGGAATTATTTACTTAACATCAACTCTTAGTCATCTGGAACCCACTACAGTGTTTCTGACCATCTGTGCCCGAGATGGTGGCGGACTCACAGCGGCCACCAATGCTGAGGTCACCATACACGTCCTGCACACCACACTGGGTCCTGCTGAATTTGAAAGGCCCAGGTATTCCTTCTCAGTTTCTGAAGATGCGCCTGTAGGCACTGCAGTTGGAACAGTTCAAGCAAGAGAGCCCTTGAGTGAGTATTTGCTTCTTCCCAGGCATCAAGGCCCAGTGCGGGAAGACTTCCTGCACTCTGTGATCTCCTACAGCTCTTCCTCCACTGCGCCAGGCAAGCAGACAGACACCGCACAGCCCGTGGCTTGTCCTTGTCCTTTCAGCACAGTTTCTCTCCATCCTATATTCTTTCTGATAATGAAAGCTATCAGCATTTTTAAAAGAAAGCCTAAAACAAACAGAATTATGTAAGAAGTACAGTTTACAATCTACTCAGCAAAATACCATGCTTTAAATGAATTCTTTGTACAGCTTTTACAAAACTGCATCTTGCCATTTTGTTGTTGTTTTGTTTGCTTGTTTTCTGTATTTAGGACTGGGTCTCCAGGGTCTCACTACGTAGATTGGACTCGTAATGATTCTCCTGTTTTCAGCCTCCCAAGTACTAGGATTACAGGTGCATGCCACCACCCCAGTCTTAATCGCTGTGTCAGCGTGCCCCGCTGGCCGCGCTAGCACAGTATGCCGGGGATCCAGCCCCAGGCTCTGCGCTCTGCCTAAGCAGGCACTTTATCCGCTGAGCTGAGCTATCAGGCCAGCCCTCCCTTATTTGTTATATAGTTTTCACTATTCTGTGTGCGTGTACACTTTCCAGGTGAATTGCCCCTCACTGTGTCTGATTTTGTAAGATTCTATGTTTAAACACTTTCTTTTTGCTATCAATAGGAATGATTTGAATTTTTTACTAATACAGATAGTACTTGAACCAAACTGCTCCTATGATCCCCTCACGTGTGAAGGTGCTGAGGCAGGACTGCTCGCTTGAAGACAATTACCTGGCCTAGGGGCCTGCTCTCTGCCCTCACCCGCCCTTTCTTTTTCCCTCTCCACTTCTGTGGCGTAGTTGGTCGCTCATAGGTAGACGAAACATTATCATAATGTGGCTTCCTCGAGCATGTGAGGACGGTACCCAGCTGGCTAGCTGAGCGTCTGCCCCTTCTACTCCTGCAGGACAGCCAGCGAGGCCACGCCTGCTCCTTGTCCACTGGACGCCCGCGGTGCGCACCCAGGGCTTTGGAGCCGCGCGTGGGCGTAGGGCTTGGAGAGCAGAGGCGGGAGGGAGGCCCAGCCGGTGGAGCATCATCCCGCGGGCACCGTGAAAGTCTCCGGCGCCCGCTTGTCCTGCATGTCTTTGCTTGGCGCCCACAAGGATCCATTCATTGCGAGCTCTCTTTTCAGATTCCTCAGAACCCATCTCTTACCGAATCTCTTCTGGCGATCTGGAAGGGCAGTTCTCCATCCACCCGTGGCTGGGCACAATTCGCACGCGGAAGCCCCTGGACCACGAGGCGCGGCCCGTGGTGGTGCTCACCGTCCAGGCCCAGCTGGGCAGCTCGGCGGCCTGCAGCAGCACAGAGGTCAACGTCACCGTCCTCGACGTCAATGACAACCACCCTGAGTTTCTTGGGGCTGCCGAGGAGATCCGAGTGTCCGCGACCACACCGCCGGGCGCCACTCTGTTCCTGGCGCGCGCCGTGGACAGGGACAGCGGGCGCAACGGGCAGCTGCGCTTCTCCCTGGCGCGCCCGCACCCGCAGGCGTTCGCGGTGCACGCAGGGCTCGGGGTGCTCTTCCTCCGCGCGCGCGTGGGGCCCGACCAGCCGCCGAGGCTCACGCTGACCCTGGTGGCTGAGGACCACGGCGAGCCCCCGCGGACGTCCCTCTTGGGGCTGACGGTCGTCGTCGAGCCACAGGAGCCTGGGCCCGGCCTGGCTTTCGAAAATTTGGTCTATGGGGTGGAGGTGAGTGAGTTGGCCCCGCCCCGGACGCAGATCCTGCAAGTGCGGGCGGGCACCCTGGGCCCGGGACGCGCAGTCCTGCGGGTGAGGTACGCCCTGGAGCCGGGCGCCGACGCGGCCCCCTTCGGGATCCAGCCGCTTACGGGATGGGTTTTCCTGCGGCGCCCTCTGGACTACGAATCCACGCAGACGCACCGCTTCAGAGCCTTTGCCTGTGCCCCGCGGGATGGAGCGTTGCAAAACGTGAGCACTTCGGTGATTGTCCACGTCCTGGACGAGAACGACAACGCCCCTGCCTTCTCCAAAAGCCAGTTGTTTCTCAAAGTGGAGGAGAGCCCGGTGCCCCGCGGGGTGGTAGGCAGGATGGCAGCCTCGGACGCAGACGCGGGCAGGAACGGACAGCTGTCCTATTTCCTCTTGTCTGCAGGAAACTTTTTCAAGATGAATCCCAACACAGGTAACATTTTGTACCTTCCACTTCTTTAAAATCCATATTAGGAAAACTAAAATATTTAGGTATGGTTTCAGTAGAAATACATAGTTAAAATTACAGTTTTCGGTGAGTACAGCACTGGATTAGAGTATTGCGTGATGTTAAAATGAAGTTCAAATTGGAAAGGTTTTCAGCTAGACGGACCCGTATTTCTGTTCCCTCCCACTCGCTGGTGGCTTGTGACGTCACCTGGCGATGAATGACATCAGTCATGAACTGCATGTGATGGGGAGGAGAAGCTGTCGCGTCGAATCTTCACTCTACCTTTCCGACATCCAACCTGGAAATGCTTCTAGCTGCGTTACAGCTGCACACAATGCTCAGCGCAGTTCACGTGGGCACAGGATTGCAGAGTAGGAGCAGCAGGCTTTGGCTACACCACAGGTAGGCTGCTGTCGTCGCCGAGTGCGTCGCAGGTTCATCTAGATTTGTGGAAGCGCGGGATTGCTCACACCATAATGAAGTCAGCCACTAGCATATTTCTTAAAACCCCATCAGAAGGCTGGTGACTCTGCTGTGCTTACACTGAGTTAGAGATAAAGTCAGAATCCCATAGGAATAAATCCTGTGTAAATGTTTTCTTCACCAGCTATTCTTTTTTATTACTGTCAGGTCATGCTCATGAAATATAAGCCACACATTAGTTTAGATGTGAAAATCGCTGTAAGGATCTATGTCCTGTTCTCTCCTTGGTAAGGAACTGGAGAAGAAGGCAGGACTCTTGCAGCAATGGAATTATTTTTTCAACATCTTAATTTAAAACTTAAATATAAAAGGATATTATGCTTTCAAATTAGTGTTGTATGCATTTACAAGGACTTTGATCCTACAGCAAAATGTATTTATGCTGCAAAGATAACTGGGAAAACAGATCCAGATAGCCGAAGTCAAGTCGCAGAGCTGGCCAGGGGCACAAGAAAGCCTCTAAAGCATAGCGTTTCAGAGGGGAGCACTTCGGTCACAGCCCGTGCTGTGGGGCCCCTACTCCGCAGTGAGGTGCATTTGGACTCGCTCTGCCCCACTTCAAGCCCATGTTGTGCAGGCAGGAGGTGTGGCAACGAGACTCCCCTGCCTCCAACGAGTGGGGCTTCACAGCAGGGTGCAGGCAGGATGTTGTCCTGATCTACCCCTCCCTGCCCGGAGCCCCACTGCTCGGCAAAGGCCGCAAAGGAGTGCAGAACAGCTCTGCTTGTTTTCCCTTCCACACACCTGTGGCTTTCCCAGCATTCTAATTCGCTTAGTCATTTTTTTTAAATGTGCAAAGTACAGTTGGTCCAGGACCCAGGTTCAGAAGACCAGGAGGCTGCTCCTCATTTTCTTGCATGGCTTCAACAAGTAGCTGGACCCCAGAATGCCTTTACTGTGCATAGTGGGGCTCACTCCAGACACCATCCTGGCTGTGCTCCAGAAGGCCAAGAGCCACGGTGCTAAGTCGCCCAGGCAGTGCTTCTAGTGGCTATTTGAAAGAGCTTGGAAGACAGTGCACTGCTCACCTGTCCTCACTTCCAGGGACAGCGGGGCAGGACAGGGCTGCATCTCCAGTGCATGGGCAGTGGCCCTGGCCCCCCCAGCCTGGTGCTCTGAGCAGTCCTGGTGGCCACTAGGATTCTGGGGCCCCCTGATCAGCCCACCTGGGCCTTGTGGGCACCAGGGCCAGGCCAGGCGTGAGGACCTATTTCACCTGACCTCCTAACAGCCTCTGCCTGTCAGTCAGATTCATGAAATAACAGTGTTTGCTGTTCAGAATTTGGAATTTCCAGAGAACTACTGTTTAGAACTTGAAAAATATAGCTGTACCTATTATGTCTACTAAATTGCAGTTATAATCAATATTGTTTAAATATAGTTTATGTGGTAAACACTGAAGTTCACCCCTCCAGTTCAGTGACATCCAAATGTGAATTTTGTTTCTAGTTTCCCTGCCTCCCTCCCTCACTCACTCACTCCTTCCTTCCCTCCCTCTTTCCCCTCTGCTTGCCTCTTCCTCCCTCCCTTCCTCCCTCCCTCCCTCTTCCCTCCCTCTGTAAATTCAACGTCATTTTATTTGAATTTACAGGGAGAAACCCTTAGCCATCAGAAAGTTTGGTGGCTGAGCATGGTGGTGGTCCCTACAATGCCAGGACTCTGGGAGGCAGAATCAGGAGGACAGTGAATAGCCACTAGGAGCCCTGCCTGGGCGACTTAGCACTCCAGTGAGACTCCAAACATGAAAGCCAGAAAGGGCCGGGGCTGTGCGATGCCGGGTACTGCGGGAGGCGGGCTTCATGCTTGACAGATGCCGCTTCGTGCTTGCTTTCTCACATGGAGGTATCTTGGCGCGCACTGAGGAGACCCAGGGCCGGCTGTGTCACGCAGCAAGAGGCCCAGGTAGGGCGAAGCAGGCCCAGAGTCACGCCCACGTCCTCGTGGCTGAAACACAAATGGACTCAGCGAAGGTAGCACGGGTTTATTCACTGACACAGAAAACAAGGTTTGTAAAACATCGGTAGTTTCTTAGACAATTGCTATCTGTCAGCATACAAACATTTCATTCAATTAAAAAGAAATTGTATACTTACATGATGTGTCATCCCCTAAAGAATATTATTTTCAACAAAGGCACTTTGCCACTGTTGCTAACAAGTGCTGTGCTTGCAATAATTTTTGGCTTGCCGAATCCCCTTCGATCTGCGACTGTATTCCTCTTGATGGCTCCCCAGGAGATCATTAGCTGGGAAACTGGGGCCCAAACCCAGAACTCGCCGCACCATTGTTCAGGTGCTGTTTCATACAACGGCGGAACATAAGTGGTAATTTGATGAATTCATTCTGCGGGGTCGAAATGGTTGATGGCAGATGATTTGAAATACAAAGCACGCCAAAGCTGAGGTGGCATTTTCAAGAACAAGCTCAAGAAATTCTTTCAGTGGTACCAGAGTGGGACTGCTTCTGGGTGTGGCCTCAGGCGTCATGCTGTGGCAGACCCTCCTTCCTCCTGGGGGTTATTTGGAAGTGGCCCCCGTGGCAGGCTGCAGCTCACAGCGTCTTTGTCTTATCCTGCCCCTCAGGTGAACTGATCAACTGGTGGGCCCTGGACCGCGAGCGTCAGACGCAGCACCGGTTGACTGTCCTGGTGGCGGACCATGGCTCGCCGCCGCGAAATGCCACCACTGTGGTTTATGTCACAGTGACCGACATCAATGACAACAGCCCATTTTTCCCACAGTTCCTCCCTGGGAAGGAACTTCACGTCAAGGTTTGTGGAGCAGCCTTCAATGAGCTCGTAGCCCTCCCGGTTGTTTGTTTTGAGCACCATCTTGTGGTAGGAAGTGTAAATTCTCAAATCCGTCCGGGCATGACCTTGTGCACACAGGATTTCTAAAGGACCAGGAAATCGTGCTAGAAAAACAAACAAACAAAAAGATGAAGAGAAAGTGTGCATATGTATTCTTTGGAATTAAACCACTAGCTGCTTCTGGATGAAGGAATACTTGTTCCTTCATGCGAGGATAATGCTCTTGCGTGCCTCACTGTGTAGAATCCCCGCTGAGAAATGGCACCGAGTGAGAAGGGGACACAGGTACAACACGGTTGCTTGTTTGTTTGTGTGGTTTTTAAAATTTATGTTTTGGTACCGGGAATCAAGCTCAGGACCTTGGGCTTGCCGAGCAGGCGCCGTGCCACTGAGCTGTACCCCCGGCCCCACAATCTGTAATCCTACAGTGGGTGGATGTACATGCAGTAATTGTAAAGTTTCCTCCTCTTGAGCTCGTACACAAATTTCTGCTTATCTTTTTTTGTTTCCATGTCTTTTATAACATAGATAGCAAATTGGCATATATTAGTTCTTACATATAATTAATAATTATATTTCGGAGGTGCTCATAATTTTTAATGAATATGTAATAAGAGTAAAAAGACAGGAAACTACTGCTCTGAAATGATTGAATTAGATATTTAAATTGCATTTCAATATGCATACTGAAAAACTCAAAAAGGTATTGATGAAGTTAATCATTTTGATCTTCCAAAGGCAGATTTACAGAAAATTTTTACGAAAGCAAAAATTATCAGATCATCATGATTTATAATACTACCATTAACATATCTGGTGCTTAACTAGACAATTGAACTCACATGTGCATTTCAATATTTTGAAAAGTTCCTGTTAATTAATGGTTCTTGTGTAAGGTATATATCCTGAAATAAAGGTTTATCAAAGCACATTTTGCATCATAATAGCCTCTTAAATTATAATCTCAAAAGGTGATAAATGAGAATATGCTAGAATTATTTTAAAAGCCTAAAATATCACACTGTTTAGTCTTTTCTTTTTCCTTCTTTGTATGGAGTTAGTTAAAATGGCTGCGAGTAGTTGCACATTCCTGTAAACCCAGCATTCCAGAGGCTAAAGCAGGAGTATCCTTGAGAGTTTGAGACCAGCCTGGGCTACAAAGTGACCTCAAGGCCAGTCTGAACTATATAGCAAGTCCCTGTCTCATAAAGACAAAAAAAAAAAAAAAAAAAAAAGTTAAAATGCCCTAGTTTGTCCAAATTGAGGAAAAGATTTAAATTTATCAGATGGATTTTTTTTTTTGTGGACATTTAGCCATCTAATTTTAACAGGGTACACATTTGAATTGCATGTGATTTTAAAATAGTTAAATACACTTAGTGTATTGTGTTTTTTAAATGCAAAGTCCCATTGATACTTATTTTTAAGATTTCGGTGACATGTCTATAGTTATTTGTTTTTATGGCAGGTTCTGGAAGACCAGCCAGTAGATATGTTGGTTACAACTGTGTTCGCGAAGGATCTTGATGAAGGAAACAACGCAGAAGTTATCTACTCAATCTCCTCAGGTAAAAGTTAGTATTCATAAAGGATGAAGAGATTTCAGCACACTCTTCATCAGCTTGAAAAAAACTGTGTTTTAGTTTGATTGCTTAGAACTCTCCAGGTAGCTTTGAACATAACACCAAGTGACAAATACAATTCGGAATACACTGACTATTGCCAAGAGACACATTCGCTTTTTAAAAAAAAGACAATAATTCTTTAAGTTTAGTGAAAACTCACTGCTATTTTTTTATCCTAAACAGAAACCACCTCCCTCAAGTGAGAAATCTGCAATAATTTAAAGAGTGAATGAACTTTCATTGAAAGTAAAGAAGTAGCTAGTGGAGAAGAAGCAGAGTTTACTGTGTTATGAGGTCAAAGGTCTATGAATGTTGATGAAGACTAATTACTATTCAGGTCAGAATACATTTTCCTAGCTGCATCTTACCACACCTCAAAGGATATATGGTTGCATACATGGGAAGCATCAGGCATACTCTTGTATTTTCTCTTAGGCAGTGCAGGGCCCAGATTTGTCGCATGACCTTCAGCTGCTGTTGTGTCCTACATCATTTGAAGCGATGTTTGTTGCTTTGTCTTGATGCAAACATGAGACCAAGAGACAAGCTTACTTTTCCCCAAATATAATTTGATTGTCTTCGTGTCAAACTCAACAACTATGACAGGCAAAGCTTTGAAATATAGTAAGACAGCAACTTCTCTGGGAGCAGTGTCATCATACAAAACCCAACAGCATTTACACTAAGAAGTTCGTCACAGGTTGTGCCCACTCTGGTGAGTTCATTCACATAACCCGTACATTAGGGCAGATTTGCTTGAGCGGAGTGCAGAGCTGTTGACACGCTCCTATCTTTCTCATGCAGGACCTGTCCTCAAATTCTATGCTTCAAAAATCACTAAGTCAGAATCTGTGCCTTTTAAGGGATATAGGAAAATTCCAATGGAGCATATATGAAAGCTTGCTGTAAAAAAATTACAAAATAATATGGAAAGTCATAGAAGACAAATTAAATTAAAAACTGAATCATGTTCAGCTTAGGAAGACTGAATAGCCTAAAAATAAAAGCACTAATAATGCGCTTATTATTTTAATATTTACAACAAAATCTCAATAAGTTTTGGTGGAATTTCACAAACTGGTTCTAAAAGTCACATGAACAGCTAAAACAGAGGGTAAGGCAATATCAACAGAACACGTAGGAGATTCACCTCGTGGATCTGGGCTCAGAGAATTTTCTGAGTAAGACAGTGTCATACAAACTTACTGATGAACAAATAGATCAGTGGAAAAGACTAAAGAACGTGTCTCACACGTGGAGACTTGAAGCATGATATGTCGGGAGAGGACAGAGACCGACATCCGATCCTTCGAGACTGATTACTCGTGTAGGAAAGTAACATGTCATTTAGAGCTACCTGCTTCTCCGCATATCAGATCGAAGTGTGATTAACCGCTTTCTTGTAGGAAGAAGATAAAGGATTGTATGACATGGAGGGTAAAGAATGATACTTAAACAAGAAGAGCAAAAACTCACAAAGAAATAGATACAACTACAGTGAGAGTAAAATCTTCACGGAAGATTCCGTTGTCTATAATGTTATGTCAGGTCACAGATTGGGACAAGGCCGTTGAAACCCATGTGACTGATGCAAAATTGTGTTCAGACTTGATTAAGAGCTCCTAAAAGTCAACAAGGAAAGGGCAGTAATTGAATAAAACGCTAGACGATGATATCAACGGGGTGAAGGATTCCGAATAATCAGAACTGAGATCAAACGCGCTCAGCTTCCCTGGTGGGGCTGGGTGGGGGGCAGTGAAGTCATAGGGCCGACCTGAAGGTCTGCGCTCTGCGCGGGGGTGGGCTGGCTTCTGTGTCGCACTGCAGAGGCCTCGTGTCCGTGTGCAGAATGCGTCGAGAACAAGACAGCCTCGGTAGCGAGGGCAACAGGACAGGTCTGCTTGAAGCACTCACAGCAGTGACAGGGGAAACACTTCATTGCATTGGCCGGCGCAAATCCTGGAACTTGCATTGTCTCAAATAGGCTCCCTCCCACTTTAGTCTCTTTTTTTTTTCTCTAATTCTATTTTTTTTTTTTCACATGTGAAAGAGAGCATGCGCTGTCTGCCTTTCTGAGGCTGGCTCACCGCCCGTAGCATGATGGCCTCCAGTCCCATTTGTTCCCTTTCAACACTCGTGTTGGAAAGAAAGCAATTCAGAATGCACTGAAGACCTACAGAGATGACGTGAGACTGCAACCGCTAGAAGAACAGCAAACACTTGAAGGCATAGCAAGGCAGAGGCGTCCTGACTATGGCTCCAATAGTGTAGGAAATACAGGCAGAACTAGCAAGTGGGATTACATCCCGTTAAAAGGCTTTTGCACAAGGCAGGAAGCAATGAAGAGAGCCTGCAGAATGGGAGAAAGTCTTTACCAATTACCTTTCTGTCAGAGGAGTACTATGTAAAATACATAAAAGACTCAAAACGTCCCAGAACCAAATAGTCTAGTCAACAAATGGGCAAACGAATGTTTATTTCCTTAAAAGAAGAAGTACTAATGGCCAATAAGCATATAAAAATGTTCAGTGTGTTTCACCACTTGGTCTAAACACACTGATATTCCACCTTAACTTGGTCAAGATGGTGGTCATGAAGAACACACACACAAACACACACACACACACACACACACACACACACACACACGAGCTATAATCCTCCTATAATAATACTTAAATTAGGCAAAGTCAAGTTAAGCATATTTATGAATTCATGGACTAGAAAGATAACTACACGTTAGGTAGGAAGGTGGCTTCCTACAGAAAAAGAGCAGGGGATGAGATCTGGTGGCACAGACCCACCACTTTATTTACACTTCGTCATTGCTTGGAAGGGCTAATGAGTTATTAAGCAATTATCAATCTACAAGGTGATACATTGATGTTTATCGTGTGTTCTGAATGTTTCACTTGCTGCTCTTTAGCTTCCAAATGATGCTTGGGGTGATCGGCAGAAGACTATAGTGATGTTTTTACTTGCATTACATGAGTGAGGCAACTACAGCATGTAATCATATCAAGTAACCTGATAAAAATTAGTGTAATGGAATGAAAATACATGTCGTATTGATGAAAACATTCTTCACTGTCCCTGTGAGACTAAAAGGAGGAGGTTGAAGCTTAGAATCACAGCTAGCACGGCGAACACACTTCCCTGCCCGTCCTCGGAGCTTTGTAAAGGCAACGTTCTTTCTTGTTTGCCTTTATGTCCCCCCTAACTACTGATGTACCAGCCAGAGTTAGTCACTCAGCAGCTGCTGAGCCAAATAATGGAAGACTTTTCCACGCAGGCTTTGTGTGAGGTGCTTTTTTTATTTCCTTTCGATTATATAAAGTTTTCTGATTTTATTAAAGGAATGCAATCTGCTTATTAACTAAAAACCATATGATATCAATTGAATACACATGAATATGAGCTTATGATACATTTTAATGCATAAGTATTGTCTGTCGACTGCAAATAACAATATCGGAAACAGTGAGTGTCCTGAAAGTCTGGACTCTAATCCATTTTCCCTAAAAAGGAACCAGAAATCCTGGGGAAATGGCCGATTCCAAGTTTTGGACAGGCAGTCCACAGGCAGAGCACATAGCCCTGTGACAGCAGATAAAGAAGGTCCCTAAAAACAAGGAACATCCTGCTGAGAAGGCCTGGGATCTTGGCTTCAGTGAACTAAGTCCCGGCAGCGCGCTGATGCACACCCATTTAACAGCAGCTTAGTGACGCTTCAAACGAAAAGAGCGAAACTTTGCTGATGGCAGCTGAAGGTCTAGAGGGCATTACTGACCCATCAGTATTCCGCAAATGATGACAGAAAGTGCAGCATTTCCTATAGTGAGTTGACTCTCTGGGGTGGCAGAAGGTGGATCAAGGACTTTTCTCTTTATTGCAGTATTCCAGCTAAGCAATGAAGCAGAGACGATAAGGCAGGAAGCAGGACATTACACACTTCACAATATTTAATGCATTCGTAGCGTAGGCTCTGAGGCAGCAGGACCAACACGGAAACCTGAAGGTAGCCAGACATGTGCTTCCAAAGAGAAACACAACGTTTATGAAGTAAGTAGTTTTCCAGAAAGCCTGAATCTGATCGGTTCTGTGCATCTGCTTCCCAATTTAAGGACAGCACAGGACAGAGGAGCATAAGAAGCTGCAAATTATATGCAGCAGCCAAGTGTAGACCACGGGAAGCTTCAAAACACATGATCCAGTGTCCCCACGTCAGTTGCAGGGCAAGGTCAAAAAGATGGACAGTGGGCAGCGATAGGTTGAAATGTGTGATGTATGCATTTTGTTTTGATGTTAATTTGAACAAGCAAACAGCTATTTATGGCATGACTGAAAACTTTTAAATTTAGTATTTGATGGTATTGGAAATCTTTTCTTTCTTTCTTCTTTTTTTTTCCGGAACCAGGGATTCAACTCAGGCCCTTGTGCTTGCCAGGGAAGCACTATTCCACTGAGCCATCTCCTCAGCCCAGAAATCATTTTTTAAAAAATCATTGTTTATAGTACCATAATGCCTTCAAGTATTTATTGTTCTTTGGAGAAGCATGTTTATTTGTAAATAGAAGAAATAATGTGATTTCTGAGACCTACTTCAAAAGAAAGTATATAAATTAGAAATAGGTGGAATAAAAGTTTATAGCTATTGATGCCAAATAATAAACACAGAAAGCTCATCATATCTTAAAATTGTTTCTTGTTCATATTTTAATGGCATCTTTTAGTTTAAATGTATTTGAAATTGCTATATAAAAACAACATATAATGAGATACTGTGCGGTATTTTGATACATGTATACATTGTATAAGGTTTTATTTGGTTAAATATATCTTTCTCTACGAACATGTTCCTGGCTCTTAAGGAGCTTAGGGAAACAAACGTCCCCAAATGATCCCAAGTCCACTGGATTCATTGATGCTCAGGTTCCCATCTTGTCAGTTAACCCCAGTCTCGAAATTGTTTTTGTGTGCAGAAGATTATTCTGACCATTTTAAGATCGACGGCAACAGCGGTGAGATAAGAACAGCCACGACACTTGCCTATAGCCGCAGACCCTCCTACAGGCTGACGGTGGTCGCCAGGGACCAGGGCCGGCCTCCACGGCAAGGCCGGGCGCTTATTCGCATTCAGGTAATGTTGGCCGCGTGAAGTGTGGAAGGTGTGCTGAAGGTGCCACGTGACTTTTATGCGCATGCACAGAATGAAGGTACATCTAATGTGTATTATTCCAGAGTCACGTTGCCCACATCCGTATTCTCATTACACGGCACTTATTTAAGTCCAAATAATTTTTTTATCGTTTTTGCTGTATGGACATTTATGTTGCTTTGCTCATCATGAACGAATGTTGCCTTTTTATTTTAAAGAGAAAAAAAAAAAAACAGTAAATGTGATACAGGATTTCAAAACAAGGTGATAGGAAATTAACAATGGTTGCTATATGGCGTACTGTTATCTTCAGAGTAATTGCTCAGATTACCAGATCTAGGCATCCACAATCGATCAAACAACATCAGCACTGACTTCCTTCAGTTGTTTCTAATTACAACTATCTGGAAAATTTGCAGGAGAAACTGGGTGGTTAAGAAATAGCCACGGAGTGAATCATATAGTTTAATGCAATTTTTAATTTGGATCTTGATCATTTGGTCAAGATCCAAATTTTAAGGCTTCATTAAAATCATAGAAAGCAAACAAGTCATATAAAGTACTCATAATAATTAAAAATTGTACCAACCAGCAAAATTAAGATGACTGTGCATTATTGGATTTCTTTGTTGATGTACAGTATAACAAGATATATACAGATATATACAATCAATGTATATTATAAAGTACATGTTTTATGTATATGTAAACTCAAAAATATGTTTCCTAAAGAGCTCTATTTTCCAATTATACTCTTTAAACATTAAGGAAGTGTGTGTTGGGAAAAATATACATAATCATATCTCAAATTTTTTTTGTATTTCCGGAAATGTCATCCTATTTAAATGTATAAAAATGTCACAATGGATAGACATTTAAATGAATAAAAGACGTCATTATGGGTAGATTGACCCCTAGGATCCAGAATAATTTGGAGAATTGCTCTCCTACCTTCCAATTCAAGACTCACAAGGCTACATTTCAACATAATCACTGCACAACCTCACCAAACTATCATACATTACAGCAAACTGAAAATCAGAAAATGCTGGCATTTCTTTTTTTTAATGTATTTTGGTACAGGGCCTACAGGGTCTCACTACACGGATCGGACTTGTAGTGATCCTCCTGTTTTCAGCCTTCCGAGTGCTGGGATTACAGGTGCTTGCCACTAAGCCCAGTCTTCTGCTGGTATTTCTTATCACCTCAGTATTACACAATTTCGATCTCCTGACCATGCTGGAATTATATAAAAGATGTTCTTTCACCAATTAGCATGTTTATATCACATGAATAGGACTTAGCTTCCCAGATGATGTCATAGCATGTATTAATATTTGCTATCAACCTTTAATATCTAGTCAATTATTTAACTATTCAATATGAATAGCTCCTACTTATTCTGATTCCAGGTGATACCACTGTCTGAAGGACAAGCTATCAGTTCTCAGAATATCCAACATCTAGTTATACCAGAGAATACGAAGCCTTCCAGAATAATGAACTTGATGAAGTCACCTAGCCACCTCCGGCAACATCACAGTGGAAAGCTACACTTCAGTATCATGACAGATGACAAGAATGGCCACTTTGAAATCGACAGCTCTACGGGAGATTTATTTCTCTCTAGGGAACTTGATTATGAAACAACCTCTCATTATCTTTTCAGGGTGATTGCCAAAGACCGTAGTGAAGGTCCTTCCGTGAATAGCACGGTCTTCCTTAATATTGATGTGGAAGATCAAAACGATCACTCTCCAGTCTTCCAGGATGAGTTCATTGTTATCAGCATAGAAGAGAATGTGCCCGTAGGCACCCTGGTGCACACATTCAATGCCAAAGATGGTGACGGTAGCTTTCTGAACAGTAGGATACAGTACTCCATTGAGTCCCCCCAGCCTGGAACGAACCCATTTCTCATTCACCCCTCATTTGGCACCTTAGTCACCGCATCCTCCCTGGACAGAGAGAGTGTCCCAGCCGTCATATTGATGGTCACGGCCTCTGACCAGGCTGTGAATGTGACAGACCGGCGCACAAGGTCGCTCATAGCCAAAGTGGTGATTTTGGATGTGAATGACCACAGCCCCACATTCTTGTCCTTGCCTGTCGCCTATGTAAGAGAGGATGCCACTGTTGGCTCCTCAGTGTACCGTGTAAGAGCTCAAGATCCAGATGAAGGAAGGAACGGCAAAATAACCTACAGCATCTGCTCCGGAAATGAAAACATGACCTTTGTGCTGGATAAGTTCTCAGGTACAGTGCCCTGCAGTCAATCAAAACATTCTTATTTTACTGTGGTAAGAAAATCTAACATGAGACTTGCCTTTCCAACAAACACAACAGATCTCTAGAACTTCCTCAGCCTGCTGCACTAAAACTTGCTTCTTACCATCATCTCACACAGCCCCTGGCCACTATCCACTCTTTGATTCTATAAATTTGATGTCTTAAACTTCTCGTAGAGGTCAAATCATGTAGTACTTGGCTGTTGCAGATATTGCTGCACATGACAGAATTTCCTTCTTCTTAAAGGCTGACTAGTGTGCCCTTGCACATGCGTACACCACATTTTCTTCATCCACGCACGTGATGATAAGCATTTGCTTTGCTCCTGCACCTTGGCTACTGTGAACAGCTGTGCAGCAGAAATGGGAACACTATTGCCTCGTGGAGATCTTGATGTCAGTAGTGTAGGTTGAATATGCAGAAGTGGGGTCGCAGGCTCTATGATAGTTTTACTCAATTTATAAAACATTTCTGCGGAGGCTCCATATTTGTCCAGCTAAAACATTTTGCATTACCATCAACAATGTGGGAGGGCTTGCTTCTCCACATCCTTGGCAACTTTTCACCTTTTTTATAGTAGCTGCCCTAACAAATGGAATAGTAGTTCGTTGTGGTTGTGATTTGCTTTTCCCTGATGATTACTGACACAAAACGTTTTTCATGTACTTGTTGACCATTTTTATGGCTGCTTTCAAGAAGTGCCTATTTAAGTTCTCTGTTCATTTCTCAATCTTTTTTTTTTTTTTTTTTTTACAGAACCAGGAATTAAACTCAGGCCCTTGCACTTGCCAGGGAAGTGCTTATTCCACTGAGCAATCTCCCTGGCCCCTGCATTTTTTTTCTTGTCTAGTTGCAAGAGCTCTTCATGTATTCTGGTTAATATCCCCTTATCAGTTATATGGTTTTAAAATATTTTCTCACAACCCATAGTTTCCTTTATTCTTTGCTTCATAGTTGGGTGAATTCTCATTGACTTTGCTTTTTTTTGATCTTATTTATGAAATCATCACCAAAAACAATGGTAGAAAGGTTTTCCTCAATGTTTTCCCAGGTGTTTTGTTCTTTCCCATCCTGCCTTAACCTTTAACCCACTTTGAAATTTATTTTTAATGACTGACAGAGGATATGGGTTCAGCGTCATTGTTTACGCATGAATACTCGGTTGTCCCCCACAGTTCATTGACACGTCTGTGCTTTCACTGTCAGGTGTCTGCAGTACTCTTTTCCAAAGCAAGAATGCTCTTTCTGGGATCTCTACACTTTCCATTCTCTAGCTGACTGTCTTTAGGTCGGTAAATATTCTTTTCATTGCTGCACCTTTATGATATGTTTTGAAGCTGGGAAGGATGGTGTCTCCAGCTGTGTTGTTCTTTGCCAAGATTAATTTGGCTATTTTGAGATTCAATAAGAATTTTAGCATTTATTTGTCTTTCTTCCCCAAAAATGCTGCTGGAACCTTCATAGGCTCTATGGGTCATTGTGAATGGTTTTAACATGTTAACAGTATTAGTTTTTCATCCCGTGAATGTGGGATAGCTTTCCATCTGGTACATGTTCTTTAATGCCTTTCATCAATGTTGTGTAATTTTTGGTTTGCCAGCTTAGATGTTTTTTCATAAGTATTTTATTCTTTTTGGCATCACTGTCAGTGAGATCTTTTTATTTCTTTTTCAGACAACTCCTGGTGAGTGCATAGAAACCCAACTGATTTTTTATGCTCATCTTGTATTATTAACTTGTAAGTCATTAGAATTTTCTGTTTAAAGATAATATAGTGGATGGACTGGGGTAATTTTACTTCTTCCTTTTTATTTGGGTGCCTTTTTGTTCTTTTTCTGTCATTTTAATTAAAGTCTCATATGACTTGTTTGCATTCAGGCTTTTCATTTTCCCTTGTTAAAATAAATGTTCTCAAGATGTAGATGCTTTAATAATTTTGCAATTTTGACTTCCTTTAGTTATACGTATAAAAACTGCAGAGACTGTATTTGTAGAACCAGTGTTAATCGGCCTGTTTGGTAACGTAGATATGTTCTGTAACCACCTCCCCTCTCACAGGCTGTGTGTCCACTAGCAGACTTCTCTGCACCCCCGTATGGGTCCTTGGAGTAGGAGAAGGCACCAAAACTAAATCCAGATGGCAACATGCCTGGCCAACAGATCAGTTAGAGACTTGGACAAGGCAATTTACCTTTAGGTTTGCAAATAGATGGAACTACTGTTCTAATGGTTAAACTCCTGTGGACATGAAGGTTCTTGTTTTTCACATCAATTGTAGCATTTTATTTTTCTTGAAATGCTTTTGTTCATGTAGGTTGGCAATACATAG